AATCAGAAGGGGAGGATCTCCTTGCCTCCTCCACAGCCTTCTGGGACACATGACAGGTCCCAGAGGACTGCAGAACCATTCACAATGTGCAGCACCACTCGCTCATGCACAGTAGGCCCCTGGCTGTAAAGGCATAAGCTGTCACAGCCAGGTGCCCACACTTAAGATGTCGGGGACACAGGACACTAGGTAAGGACACTGCAGGATCCTGGGACAGATGAGGGGCTGTTTTTTAAAAGTCAACAGCTACAGTTTGTGTTGCTGCTTACTTATTTTTTCACCAGAGACTTCAGCTCCATTTTAATTTTGATTTTTTTTTCTGCACTTTCCAAAAACATGTGTCAAAACAATAAAGCCTTCAAAAGACTTACTATCCTGGTGTCTAGAACCTCCAAAAATGTCAGGAAATTAGATGCATAATTTATGTTTCTGTAATGCCTGGTTGTGCTTCCTTGGATTTTGGGCCCCTCTATATGGCTGGGCTTGAAAACGTATCCTATCACCATACTGGGGAAAAGAAGTAGAATGTGTTTTGATGTGCAATTCTAAGAATGTCTATAATGTGTTGTAGAAATATCTTATTAATTAACTTTGTAGGAAAAAAAAATATTTTCTTCCTGCATTTTCCAAAAAATAAAAAATTTTTAAAATACTCAGTATATCTTTCAGAAAATACCTTGGAATGTTTTTTTCCAAAACTGAGTCAGGTGTAGATGGCATCTTTCAAACCTCTTGAAAACTAGTTGTCCTTTCTGCCCAAAATGGGCTTCTTGTCCTGAAAGGAATGTTTCTTTTCAGTATTATCAGTCTTCGAGTAGCCCTCCAGATGCAGAGATGGGCACTACTGTTATGACCTCACTCAGTTCTTCTCTGTTCTTCTCCTGCTGTTCTTCTCTGGGTAACTGCATTTATCTGCTACCTCCACTCTTAACCAGACAAACGCATTGACTCCTGCTGTTCTTCTCTGGGTAACTGCATTTATCTGCTACCTCCACTCTTAACCAGACAAACGCATTGACTCCTGCTGTTCTTCTCTGGGTAACTGCATTTATCTGCTACCTCCACTCTTAACCAGACAAACGCATTGACTCCTGCTGTTCTTCTCTGGGTAACTGCATTTATCTGCTACCTCCACTCTTAACCAGACAAAACGCATTGACTCCTGCTGTTCTTCTCTGGGTAACTGCATTTATCTGCTACCTCCACTCTTAACCAGACAAACGCATTGACTCCTGCTGTTCTTCTCTGGGTAACTGCATTTATCTGCTACCTCCACTCTTAACCAGACAAACGCATTGACTCCTGCTGTTCTTCTCTGGGTAACTGCATTTATCTGCTACCTCCACTCTTAACCAGACAAACGCATTGACTCCTGCTGTTCTTCTCTGGGTAACTGCATTTATCTGCTACCTCCACTCTTAACCAGACAAACGCATTGACTCCTGTTAAATTCTCACCAAATGTTGTAATTATATCTGTGTATCTGTTGACTTGTCCTCACCTCTAGGCGCACTCAGGTTTATGACTGTGGCCTGGTTCCTAAGAATCATCCCCCCCCTATTCATGTGAGCCTTATCAGCTTCTAATTCTAATAACTACTGTTATGACTGAGTGAGGGGTATGCCCTCACTCAGCTACCCCCTCATTCACCCCTCTCCCACAGCCCCACCACTGCTCTGACCTCCTCTTCCACCCCACCCTACATTCCTCATACTGAAGCTCCCCCAACACTCCACACCTTTGACCTTACTACCATCGAGGAAGTCTCCAAGATCCTCTCTGATGCCCGCCTCACCACCTGCCCCCTCGACCCTATCCCCTCACAACTCCTACGACCTTCCTCCTCCTCCATCCTACGCTCCCTCACCCACATCTTCAATCTCTCCCTCTCCTCAGGCACTTTCCCCTCCCCTCTGAAACATGCACACATCACCCCCATACTTAAAAAGCCCTCCCTGGACCCCAATGACCCGAACAACCTCAGACCCATCTCCCTGCTCCCATTTACATCTAAACTCCTCGAGCGCCTAGTCTACACCCGCCTATGCTCTCACCTCAACGACAACAACCTCCTCGATCCCCTACAGTCCGGCTTCCGTCCCCTACACTCCACCGAAACTGCCTTACTCAAACTCTCCAACGACCTGCTAACCGCCAAAGCTAATGGCCACTATTCAGTGCTCCTACTCCTTGACCTCTCTGCGGCCTTCGACACAGTCGACCACCCCCTTCTCCTCAAAAAACTACACTCCCTCGGCCTCAGAGATTCTGTTCTCTCCTGGCTCTCATCCTACCTGTCACAACGCTCCTTCAGCGTTACCTATAATGCTACCACCTCCCCCTCACTCCCCCTCTCTGTTGGGGTCCCTCAAGGCTCTGTCCTCGGGCCCCTTCTCTTCTCCATCTATACCTCCTCCCTTGGCCAACTCATACACTCTCACGGCTTCAACTACCACCTCTATGCCGACGACACACAAATCTATCTCTCAACCCCCCACCTCACCCCCTTGTCTCAGCCCGAATCACACACCTACTGAGCGACATATCAGACTGGATGTCGCTCCACTTCCTTAAATTGAACCTCTCCAAAACCGAGTTTCTTGTCTTCCCCCCAGCCCGGACACCACCCCCCATTGATTTCTCCATCACATCCAACAACGCTACCATCAAACCCGCCCTGCAGGCCAGAGTACTGGGTGTCATTCTGGACTCCAACCTATCCTTCCAGCCCCAAGTCCAATCTTTAACAAACTCGTGCAGACTCCACCTCCGCAACATCGCCAAAATCCGCACGTTCCTAACCCCAGAAACCACTAAACAGCTCATCCACTCCCTCATCATATCACGACTCGACTACTGCAACTCCCTCCTCACTGGCCTGCCTCGCCGCTGGCTATCCCCTCTTCAGTCCATCCTGAACACGGCTGCCAGACTCATTCACCTTTTCAACCGCACTGTCTCCGCCACCCCCCTCTGCCAATCCCTCCACTGGCTTCCGATTGCGCAACGGATCAAATTCAAAATCCTAACGCTGACGTACAAAGCTGTCCACCATACTGCCCCGAACTACATCACTGACCTAATATCCAAGTGCCGCCCAGCACGCACACTCCGCTCCTCACAAGACCTCCTTCTCTCTAGTTCCCTGGTCTCCTCCTCCCATGCCCGCCTCCAGGACTTCTCCAGGGTGTCACCCATCCTCTGGAACTCCCTGCCCCAACCCATCAGATTATCACCTACTCTCCTCTCCTTTAGGCGCACCCTGAAAACCCATCTCTTCAGGGAAGCCTACCCCACCCCCTGCTAACTTGCCGACCTCCTCCACTCTTCCTACCACTCCATCCCCCACAGCTATCTCCTCCTGTGCCACCACCCCCTCCCTCCTAGATTGTAAGCTCGAAAGAGCAGGGCCCTTGATCCCCTCATGTTTTGCATTGTATTGGTATTGTTCTGTCACATGTTCTGTCTCCCTTTTGTAATGTACAGCGCTGAGCGAACTATTGGCGCTTTATAAATACTGTATAATAATAATAATAATAATGACAACAGCACCACTCTCTGCATGCATGTACTGTGTATGAAGAGCACCATTGTGACACCCCATAATACCTTGTAATTACAGTATCTCTTCTGCTGAGTCTCAGTGGTAGGAGGAGAGAAATCATGCTGAGTCTCAGTGGTAGGAGAGGAGAGAAAATTCCCTGCCACTTTCTATTTCAGTATTTTTATTAAAGAAGTTTCGTTTTTATAATACAACAAGCTCATGAGATGCCCATGCAGGGGCAGAGCTAAACAATACAATACATAATCAGATACAAATCAGCAGGGTGTATTAGCCAAATAACGGAATGTCCAATGACACCAAGGAGGGACAGCAAAAAGCTGAACCAAATAGTAGCAGCAGCAATCCATCATATTACCGAAAAAAAAGAGGAAAAACCTCTACCGAGAATTATCAGCTCAGAACATACGGGAAAGAAACCCAAACTCATAAAAAAAAGAAAGTATAAGAACATAGAAAGAAATAAGGAAGGAGAAAAGACTGAGGAAGAGAACATGGAAGAAAAAAAGACTAGAAGAGTCATGGATCCAGGGCTAGCACATGCAAACGCTATAAGAGGGCATAGCTAGTAGGAGGCACGGACAGCAGGGAATAATGTATCCAAGGTTCCCAAACCTTAAGGAATCTTTGATGAGAATCCTGAAGAATGCTAGACATCTTTTCATTGATCAGCTTAGCATTCCCCCGCCATTTTCTTTCCTCTCGTTGCAGGGATGACAGTTCGGTCTAAAGGGCTGTTGATTGGTCAGTACCGTCACAAGATTGGTGGGCTCACACGGGAGCAGTGGGGAAACCGCATGCGATTTGGACAGCAATCGCATTTCTGTTCAAATTGCATGCTATTCTTGGGTCCAAAAAACAGCCAGTTAGCCATCATTTTCATATGGGGTTTAAAATTAGCATACTCCATATTTCTCTAAGGAAACGTACACTACAGTATATTGGGGCACCTCCCTTTACATGCACATGAACTTTAATGGCATCCCAGTCTTCGTCCATAGGGTCAAATATTGAGATGGCCCACCCTATGCAGCTATAACAGCTTCAACTCTTCTGAGAAGGCTGTCCACAAGGTTTAGGTGTGTGTGTCTATGGGAAGGTTTGACCATTCTTCCAGAAGCGCATTTGAGAGGTCAGGCATTGATGTTGGACGAGAAGGCTTTGCTCGAAGTCTCCACTCTAATTCATCCCAAAGGTGTTCTATTGAGTTGAGGTCAGGACTCGGTATGCTGACACCTTAAGAGTTCCCTTCACTGGAACTAAGGGGCCAAACCGAACCCCTGGAAAACAACAGCACACCATAATCCACCCTCCACCAAAGTTTACACTTGGCACAATGCAGTCAGTTCTCTTTGCAACTGCCAAACCCAGACACGTCCATTAGATTGCTAGACAGAGAAGCATGATTCGTCACTCCAGAGAATACGTCTCCACTGCTCTAGAGTCCAGTGGCAGCGTCCTTTACACCACTGCATTCAATACTTTGCATTGCACTTGGTGATCTTAGGCTTAGATGCAGCTGCTCGGCCATGGAAACTCATTGCATAAAGCTCTGTATGCACTGTTGTTATGCTAATCTGAAGGCCACACGAAGTTTGGAGGTCTTTAGCTATTGACTCTGCAGACAGTTGGTGACTTCTGTGCACTGTGCACTTCAGCATGCGCTGACCCCGCTCTGTCATTTTACGTGGCCTACCACTTCTTGGCTGAGTTGCTGTTGTTCCCAGATGCTTCTACTTTTTTATAACAATACTAACAGTTGACCGTGGAATATTTAGTAGCAAGGAAATTTCATGGATGGACTTATTGCACAGGTGACAACCTATCACGGTAACACATTTGAATTCACTGAGCTCCTGAGAGAGACCCATTCTTACACAAATGTCTGTAGAAGCAGTCTACATGCCTAGGTGCTTGAATTTATACACCTGTGGTCATGGAGGTGATTGGAACATCTGAATCCATTGATTTGGATGGGTGTCCCAATACTTTTGGCAATATAGTGTATGTCAGTGACACAAAGCAGAGCAGAAAAAAAAAATGTCCTCTGTGCAAAAGTGCAAAAGCACAAAAGCCTGCCATGAAAAAAAGAAAACCTGTAGTAGCTGGAGCAACTGTTGAGCTTGGTTAGTAAATCGCAGCAATAAGCAGTTAGAGTCCTTACGAAATACAATAGACAAGCTTTTTCCTTCCTTTAGGAGCACAAATAATAAATGCAATTTTGGGTAATGTATATTACACTACTAACAGAACATCATTCACCAACAAGAAATAGGTCACAAAATGTTTATTTTCTTGTCTACAGAGAATCCCATCTGATCCTCCCAGCAGTGGCAGCTTATCATAGCAGGGCTCTAGAAGTTGTTAATTAGATCTTAAGGAGTGTGACCAGTTCTGTAGAGATGACTGTCTCTGGTTATCACAAATTGGTTGATGCTGCTGAGTGACATGATGTCACTCAATGCAGCAGATCTTCTTTGCATTCTTATATGACAGCATCACATATACTGTATATTAATATTTAATATATGTAGTCATAAAATCTTATTATCATAGCTGGAAAGTATTCATGGTTAAAGGAAAAAGACCCCCTTGGCACACAGCGTAAGCCAGCCATACAGTACATGGATCAAAGTTTAGCCGGTTCAATATTAATATATGGGCACCCTGGTTGTAAAGAAGTCGATTTACTGACCAACTTCTGTATATCCAGCCTGTCGGTTTTTTCTGATTGATCAGTGACACTAGCCATAGCTGGCGGCACTGATCATTGTATTCTGATAGTGGAGAAGGCTCCCCGCTGTCAGAACACAATAATACAGTGGGAGGGATTCCCCCATTCACATCAAGTGGGTGGATGGAGGAATCCGATCATTTTTTAAAATGATTAATATATGGGCTGCCTTATAACATGGAAAAAAATGATACCCTACTTATAGTAGAACTAAAGGATAAAGAAAAAAAATGTGAACAGGCAAACTATTTATTGCAGAGGATACATTGTATGAAAATAAATAAAATACATTTACCTGCTTGTTTACAATCCTCTGCAAAATGTACATGAAGCTAAGCCCAGCTCTGTTTACATTTCAGGCACAGTGCCAATGTGTCATGATGAATGATTCTCATGTGAGCGCGGGAGTAACATCAGGGGCGGACTGACCATTTGGAAACTCGGGCACTGCCCGAGGGCCCGGGGTCAGAAGGGGGCCCCATGAGATGCCCCTGGTACCTTTTTCACAGGCGTTTTTGAGTTTGGCCAAGGACACAGGGGCCCCATGATCCCCTATTGCCCGGGGCCCCATGAGTTGTCAGTCCGCCCCTGAGTAACATCATCCTGTACCAACCAATCAAGACGACTGAACATCGCAACAGGAAAAAACTGGGGATAACACACAGGTGCCAGTAAGGAATATCACAGGTGTGGGACCCTTGGAGAATTGGAGGGTATTCCTATGTTTAGTTCTACTTTAATACATTTGTAACATGTTAAATGGAACTTGAATTTAGAGAAATAGGCAGGTTGCCATTGCTGAAAATTCTGAAAATATTGCTAACATACTGATTTAGCCCCCATTCACACCAATGCGATTTATCATGTGATCGCATGACAAGTCGCAACCTATTTGTGCCCATGGAACCTTTCAAATTGATGCGACTCTTTGTGGTGCAGCACCAATTTTGAAAAAAAGGTTCCTGTACTATTTTTGTCAATTTCATGTGCGACTTGCTTAGACATATGTGCATGAAGTTGCATAGATGTCAGGCAAGCCGCACATGAAATCACACTGACCAGCGGCTTTGACGTCATGCTACTTTAAAGTAGCACAATTTCAAATGCAGCATTCAGAGTGAACCAGGGCTCAAAGTGGCATTAAACTCCAACACAAAAATGTTATATATTGCAGATTACAATTTCTTAGATGTGATAGTTTCATTAGTTTACCTTTTTTTAGCCTTTTTTTCCTTTATTTTCATCTGCTGATCCTGTCAGTAAGTCTGTTACATTTCAATTTCCTTTAAAGTGATACTAAACACACACTGTTTAATTTTTGTTATCCCTTCTCTTTATGTACAGGGATGATGGCATTGTGGTATTTAACCACTAGCCTACAGGGCACTTATACCCCCTTCCTGCCCAGGCCAATTACCAGCTTTCAGCGCTGTTACATTTTGAATGACAATTGCGCGGTCATGCAATACTGTACCCATATTAAATTTTTATCATTTTTTTGTGACAGATAACGCTTTTTTTGGTGGTATTTAATAACCTCTGGGTTTATTTTTTCTTAAACAAACTAAAAACCACTGAAATTTTTTTTAAAAAAAAAGCTTTTTCTTAGTTTTTGTCATAACATTTTGTAAATAAGTGATTTTTCTCCTTCACTGATGTGCGCTAATGAGGCTGCAGTGATGGGCACTGATAGGCTGCACTGATGGACACTGATGAGGAGGCACTGGTAGGTGGCACTGATGGGCATTAACAGGCATCACTGATGGGCACTGAAAGGCTGCACTCATATATGGCACTGATAGGCGGCACTGATAGGGGGCACTGACTGGCACTGATAGGTGGCACTGACTGGCACTGTTAGGCGGCACTGATAGGCAGCACTGACGGGCACTGATAGGCTGCACTGATGCACACTGATAGGCGGCACTGACTGGCACTGATTGGCAGCACTAATAGGTGGCACTGACTGGCATTGCTAGGTGGCACTGATTGGCACTGATATGTGGCATTGATGTACACTGGTAGGCACTGAAATGTGGCACTGATGTGGCACTGATGGGCACTGGCAGGTGGCATGGATGAGCACTGACAGCTGGTACTGATGGACACTGACAGGTGACACTGCTGGGGCCACATAGATCATCAGGGCACACTGATCATCAGTGCTCTGATGATCAGTGTACATGTCCCCTCCAAGGTATGCCAATTACCGGCTCTCCTCTCCTCCCGAGCTGTCAGCGTGACAGCTCTTGAGGAGAGAAATGACGATAACAGGCATTTCCCTGTTTACATGTGATCAGCTGTGATTGGACACAGCTGATCACATGACCGAGACGACATCTTCGGTTCTTTCCATTGATCGTGATCCGCTGTGTCCGAGGGACACAGCGCACCGCCGATCGCCGCACTGCGTGCTTCCGGAGCCGCGCATGCACAGTTAGAATGGAAGGACATCATATGACGTCCTCCCAGAATGAGAGAACCCATCATTGTACTATATGGCAGACGGAAGGCGGTTAAAAAACATTTAAGTACCTTTTTTCATAATCAATATACAGCTGTCATGTGACTAAGCTCTTTCCCAGCTTATCTGCAGGGAAACATCATGGGGAGGAGCTTCTAGTCCTCTGCTTCTGGTCACATGTTTAAAAAAATGCCTTCGGAAAACAAAGGAAAAATACATAATTAATATATATATATATATATATATATATATGTATTTGAACTCAAATCTTATTATTTTTGTGCAAAACATGGTGTGCACAATCTAAGGGGAGGTTCTGCCAGTCACAGCCTGTTTCACTCCCCTCCAGCCTGTGTCTATTGTTTGTATGTGTTTAGAGTTACAGGGAGGTGAAGCCTCCATCAAACAACATACAGTGGGGATCGAAAGTTTGGGCACCCCAGCTAAAAATTTGTATTAATGTGCATAAAGAAGCCAAGGAAAGATGGAAAAGGCATCAAATTACAGAGTAGACATTCTTATAATATGTCAACAAAAGTTAGATTTTATTTCCATCATTTACACTTTCAAAATAACAGAAAACAAAAAAATGGCGTCTGCAAAATTTTGGGCACCCTGCAGAGTTAATATCTTGTACTGCCCCCTTTGGCAAGTATCACAGCTTGTAAACGCTTTTTGTAGCCAGCCAAGAGTCTTTCAATTCTTGTTTCAGGTATCTTTGCCCATTCTTCCTTACAAAAGTCTTCCAGTTCTTTGAGATTTCTGGGTTGTCTGTCACGCACTGCTCTTTTAAGGTCTATCCATAGATTTTCAATTATGTTGAGGTCAGGAGATTGTGAAGGCCATGGCAAAACCTTCAGTTTACGCCTCTTGATGTAATCCCCATGGATTTCGAGGTGTGTTTAGGATCATTATCCATTTGTAGAAGCCATCCTCTCTTTAACTTCAGCTTTTTCACAGATGGCATCAAGTTACCATCCAAAATTTGCTGAGATTTTATTGAATCCATTTTTCTTTCTACTCGTGAGATGTTCCCTGTGCCACTGGCTGCAACACAACCCCAAAGCATGATTGATCCAACCCCATGCTTAACAGTTGGACAGAGGTTCTTTTCATTAAATTCTGTGCCCCTTCTTCTCCAAACGTACCTTTGCTCATTCCGGCCAAAAAGTTCAATTTTAACCTCATCGGTCCACAGAACCTTGTTTCCAAAATGCATCAGGCTTGTCTATATGTTCATTTGCAAAGTTCAAACGATGATTTTTGTGGTGAGGACGTAGAAGAGGTTTTCTTCTGAGGACTCTTCCATGAAGACCATATTTGTACAAGTATCTCTTTATAGTGGAATAGTGTACCACAACTCCAGTGTCTGCCAGATCTTTCTGAAAGGGATCGTGCTGCAGTAAAACGTGGGTTTTGAATTGTTTTTCTCACAATCCTGCGAGCTGTTCTGTCTGATATTTTTCTTGGTCTTCCAGATCTTGCTTTAACTTCCACTGTTCCTGATGACTGCCATTTCTTAATTACATTCCGAACAGAGGATATTGACATCTGAAAACGCTTTGCTATCTTCTTATAGCCTTCTCCAGCTTTGTGAGCGTCAACTATTTTCAGTTTCAGTTTTCTAGACAACTGCTTAGAAGAACCCATGGTGCTGATTGTTGGGGCAAGGTCAGATGAGTCTGGGCATTTAAAACCTTTGAGATTGACATCATCTGGTCTTCCCAGACAATGATTGAGAACAATCCATGACACTGGCAGGTCTCAGCTTTGCAAAGGGGGCAGTGCATGCTATAAATTCTGCAGGGTGCCCAAACTTTTGCAGACGCCATTTTTTTATTTTCTGTTATTTTGAAAGTGTAAATGATGGAAATAAAATCTAACTTTTGTTGACATATTATAGAATGTCTAATCTGTAATTTGATGCCTTTTGGAGATTTTTCCATCTTTCCTTGGCTTCTTTATGCACATTAATACAAATTTTTAGCTGGGGTGCCCAAACTTTCAATCCCCACTGTATAATATCCTTCCCCCCATGTGTAGAGCTAGTTAGTGGGCATGTAGGAGCAGAGAGGCAGTGGGTTGTCATTTATCCAGAGTGTATACAGCCACACGTGTGACTCTATAGTCATGTGGGCTGCACAGATAAAAAAGGAGAAATGAACAGGTTAGAAGGGAACTAAAACTGGAGCATGCTCAACAGATGTGGCAACAGTTGTTCTACACTAAGGGTGTCCAACCTTTTGACCTTCCTGGCCCATATTGGAAGAAGAGGAATTGTCTTGGGCCACACATAAAATATACTAACAATAAGGATAGCTGATGAGCAGAAAAAGTTGGGCTGATCAGAAGTTAACAATCACTGATTTTTTGGAATATATTTTATTATAAAAGTAAAAGAGGGCAACATAAAACTAGTGCGACATTTGAATTCTTAAGGTATTCCTCATATATTTTGGTTCTAATTTTGCCCTTCGTGTGCTTCATTCTTGAAAATAGTCGCTCATAAACATAGGTGCTGCCAAAAACAGATGACATGAATATGGCGTGATTGTGAAGAGTAGAATGTTTTTCTTTGAGAAGATAAAAGCTTATATAAGTCCAGTAAAGAGACACTGTCAAATTTTTATTTAGTCGCTAAGTGTAAACACATTTATACAAAAACATTTTTTTTTAAATCAACATTTTTAAGCAAGTTTAAGATTTTGTGTTGGACCACATATATAGCTGTTTGGGGCCACATGCGGCCCCTGTGCCACAGGTTGGACACACCTGGTCTACACAATCTCAGGCTGCAGCAGAGACATAGACAATGAGGGAGGGACAATGAACAGCAGTATCAACCAGGCTTTTTGCAGAATACAGAAAACAAATGTGAATATGGACAGCATGTAATACAACATTTATTGATAGTTTTTATTGATGCGGGGTTAATGACACTTTACCAGAACAAGCTGTCCAGCAAATGTTGCAGTTAGGGGGTTGAGACAAACCACTTACCACTGATAGGGGTGCTTACAATGATCAGCTTTTATTGATTTGTGTAAAACCTTTTATACTAAAAGAAAAAAAAAAACAGTTGCTGTAACTGTTTAAAAAGTGTTAGCTGGAGTTGAGCTTTAATTGTTAGGTGATCTGAACGGAAGTGAACCGGATACTTATCAGAAATAGGTACCGGCTCCAAGAAAAAAAAAAAAAATCTCCAATAGAGGAGGTGGGAAGGGGGGAGGTGGGGGGGGAGCAAACTTCCCTTTTTAGGTAATGTTCTGCTTTAAGTTAATACACTTTATCTCCAACTTAGGGCTATGTCTCATCTCCAACTTAGGGCTATGTTACACTAGTGATCCAGACGCTGGCTGGGGCTGGACAGCAGCACGATCACTATACAGGGGCAAACAGGGAAGTTAAATACTTACAAACTTCCATGTGTCAGTCCCCCGCCAGCTACATAAGTAAGACATCACCTTCTCACTGGTGACTTAAAGCAGCATTATTCCCAAAAACAAACATGTATGATATTGCAGCATACCAATTCTTATGGTGGCTGCTTTAGTTTTTCTTTTTTAGGCTTTTTCCTTTATTTTCACCTGGTCAACTGGACAATAAGTCTGTTATTTTCAAATTCCTTTATCAGACCTAGATGTCCAGCAAAATTGTCGGTTAGAGAGTTGAGACAAAACATTTACTACTGAAAAGGGGTGCTTACAATGGTCAGCTTGTATTAGTTTATGTAAAACCTTTATACCAAAAGGAAAAACATAACCGCAGGACTTCGGCTTTAAATCAAACTCCATGGTCTTGATGAATGTATGAGTGAGACCCAAGACTAGATTTAGCTAACCTTACTGTGCAACCTGAGCAGGTGCAAAGGGCAACATATTGAGAACTGGTCCTGAATTGGCTCTCTTTCCTTCCCTCCCAGACATACCTGCTGAACCACAGACAGGTAGGCTCCGGGGAATTTGCAAACAAATGACCACAACTACAGAACATGTCCTTGGCACAAGACATTGAAAAATTACGGAGTGTAATAGTTTGGAGGATATCCCGCCATCATATCAGTCTCTAATTGATGAAGGGCTTGTTGATTGATGATCTGTACCACGTTGACACTCACCATAAGCGCTATTGCCTATCAGGTTTGGATGGGCCACGATAATCTGGTGAGTGCTACTGAATTGGGGGAGGTTTTCCTCTGGAGCACGTGGTGATATCTGAGTGCACTTTACTCAATCAATTATCAGTATGTTGTTCACGTGGTGATTTCGGTGGATCAGTAAGGACTTTGCACTTCATCACAATTTTCATTTTTCAGCTGATGGACTTATGTTAAATGATTTAAATATTTGTGTATATTTACAGTGCTATATTTTGTGTCATATTTTCACTGTGCTAGTGTTTAAATAAAATAAAAACTAACAAAAATAAATCCATTATTGTTTCCCTTTAAAGTTGTTTTTTTTTTCAGCAGGAACGTGGGGGAATGCAGTTCTGGCAGCTCCAGGACTGAATGTATGTAATAGCAAGGGGTGTTTTGGTGTGCTGGAAGGTCTACTCACTCCAACTGCTGGGGGATCTATTGTAGATGAAGGAGATATATATATTGTGTGTGTGTGTGTGTGTGTGTGTCTGTGGGGGGGGGTCTATTGTTGCTGAAGGATATATATATATTGTGTGTGTGTGTGTTTGCATGTGTGTCTGTGGGTGGGGGGTCTATTGTTGCTGCTGGGGTCTATTTTGCTGGGGGTGGGTCTTATGTTGCTGGGTGCTAGTTTTTGCTGGGAGGGATCTACTGCTGGGAGGGGATCTATTGTTGCTGGGTGCTGGAAGGCCTATTAAAGCTGGCTGCTGGGAGATCAGTTGTATTTCCT